TCTTCATTTTATTTCAAGTCTCAAAACTCCCACTTGTCAATATAATGCCAATTGGGATCAGAATATGACTTTTACTAGAAAGAGTCCCTGTTTTCTGATTTTCATAGGAGAACTGAGGTGTATCTAAAGGAATTAGAAAACATGGAAATGATGCATCTCCTTCCACATTTAGCAATTTCTACCTCTTATTTCAAGTCTCAAAACTCCCACTTGTCAATATAATGCCAATTGGGATCAGAATATGACTTTTACTAGAAAGAGTCCCACTTATTTCAAGTCTCAAAACTCCCACTTCTCAATATAATGCCAACTCGGATCAGAATATGTCTTTTACTGGAAACCTTCCACTGTTTTCTGATTTTCATAGGAGATTTGAGGTGTATCTAAAGGAATTAGAGAACTTGGAAATGAAGCATCTCCTTCCACATTTAGTAGTTTCTACCTCTTATTTCAAGTCTCAAAACTCTCACTTGTCAATACAATGTCAACTGGATCAGAATATGACTTTTACTAGAAAGAGTCCCTGTTTTCTGATTTTCATAGGAGAATTAAGGTGTATCTAAAGGAATTAGAAAACATGGAAATGATGCATCTCCTTCCACATTTAGCAGTGTCTACCTCTTATTTCAAGTCTCAAAACTCCCACTTGTCAATATAATAACAATTGGGATCACAATATGACTTTTACTAGAAAGAATCCCAGTTTTCTGATTTTCATAGGAGATTTGAGGTGTATCTAAAGGAATTAGAAAACTTGGAAATGATGCATCTCCTTCGACATTTAGTAGTGTCTACATCTTATTTCAAGTCTCAAAACGCCCACTTGTCAATATAATGCCAATTGGGATCAGAATATGACTTTTAGTGGAAAGAGTCCCAATTTTCTGATTTTCATAGGAGATTTGAGGTGTATCTAAAGGAATTAGAGAACTTGGAAATGAAGCATCTCCTTCCACATTTAGTAGTTTCTACCTCTTATTTCAAGTCTCAAAACTCTCACTTGTCAATATAATGTCAATTGGGATCAGAATATGAATTTTACTAGAAAGAGTCCCTGTTTTCTGATTTTCATAGGATAATTAAGGTTTATCTAAAGGAATTAGAAAACATGGAAATGATGCATCTCCTTCCACATTTAGCAGTGTCTACCTCTTATTTCAAGTCTCAAAACTCCCACTTGTCAATATAATGACAATTGGGATCAGAATATGACTTTTACTAGAAAGAATCCCAGTTTTCTGATTTTCATAGGAGATTTGAGGTGTATCTAAAGGAATTAGAAAACTTGGAAATGATGCATCTCCTTCGACATTTAGAAGTGTCTACATCTTATTTCAAGTCTTAAAACGCCCACTTGTCAATATTATGCCAATTGGGATCAGAATATGACTTTTACTGAAAGAGTCCCTGTTTTTTGATTTTCATAGGAGAATTGAGGTTTATCTAAAGGAATTAGAAAACATGTAAATGATGCATCTCCTTCCACATTTAGTAGTGTCTACCTCTTATTTCAAGTCTCAAAATTCCCACTTGTCAATATAATGCCAATTGGGATCAGAATATGACTTTTACTGGAAAGAGTCCCAGTTTTGTGATTTTCATAGGAGATTTGAGGTGTATCTAAAGGAATTAGAAAACTTGGAAATGAAACATCTCCTTCGACATTTAGTAGTGTATACCTCTTATTTCAAGTCTCAAAACTCCCACTTGTCAATATAATGCCAATTGGGATTAGAATATGACTTTTACTAGAAAGACTCCCAGTTTTCTGATTTTCATAGGAGAATTGAGGTGTATCTAAAGGAATTAGAAAACTTGGAAATGATGCATCTCCTTCCACATTTAGTAGTTTCTACCTCTTATTTCAAGTCTCAAAACTCCCACTTGTCAATATAATGCCAATTCGATCAGAATATGTCTTTTAGTGGAAAAAGTCCCAGTTTTCTGATTTTCATAGGAGATTTGAGGTGTATCTAAAGGAATTAGAGAACTTGAAAATGAAGCGTCTCCTTCCACATTTAGTAGTTTCTACCTCTTATTTCAAGTCTCAAAACTCTCACTTGTCAATATAATGTCAATTGGGATCAGAATATGACTTTTACTAGAAAGAGTCCCTGTTTTCTGATTTTCATAAGAGAATTGAGGTGTATCTAAAGGAATTAGAAAACATGGAAATGATGCATCTCCTTCCACATTTAGCAATGTCTACCTCTTATTTCAAGTCTCAAAACTCCCACTTGTCAATATAATGCCAACTGGGATCAGAATATGACTTTAGTGGAAAGAGTCCCAGTTTTCTGATTTTCATAGGAGAATTGAGGTGTATCTAAAGTGATGAGGTCATCGATGATGAAGAGCCGATCAACATACCCACCATAAGACATGCACCAAGGACAAGGTCAGGAACTAAGAGTCTAAGAGAGGAGTTCAACAAGTCAATAGAAGGGCTGATCACACTTATAGAGCACGAGGAACTCAAAGAGAAGCTACTCAAAGGGGAGATCACCCGAGAGACACCAATGGAGCCTCTAACCGAGTTCAGCACGCTTGAGACCCAACAAGACGACGTGGAAGACTCGGCCGGTTCAAGCCAAGACCTTCAAGAAGCCAAGAAAGTCAAAGAGACACCGAGCGATGACTACTCTCAACTCAAGCGTCAAGCCATATCATTCTTAACTGTCTTACAAGGCATCAAGGACGCTACTACGTTTGTCATCTCCAAGCAAGTGGAAATGCCACTCATCGAACCAATGTAAGTGTTTACAATTGGATTATATTTCACGAGTTTATTGTTTGTTTTGCAGGAGCTTTTCTTTGCCTTAGTCGATTTTCTTAATTTTTAGAATTTTTCCATTTTTGTTGCTTTAGTTAAACGATGAGCTTTGTAGTTTCCTTTTCTGTATTTTTCGGCCAAGAGAAGCCACCCCGCTGTCGAACCATTATATAAGGTTCCTTCTCAGCATGTAAACTTTTAACCTATCAATAAAATAACCGAGTTTTCTTTGAAAGCAAAACCCTAGCCGCAGCTAGTTCTCTTCTTCTTCTTGGGTGTGATTCCTTTGAAGCTGAAGAACAAGACTTATCACAGACTCTTCCATCATCTGTGTGGCGTCTCTCGATCCATTGTTACCCGGTCTCATCGTTTAATCATTCCCCTTTCTATCGAGTCATCTAGAGAGAGCCGTACGGCCAGCTAGAGATTTACCACCTTTCCACCCAAGCAAGAATAAGCCACTCTTGTTCCTAGATCATCTGGTATCAGAGCTTAGGCTCGTGTCAGGTGAATCTATTCCCTTGTTACCTTCTAGTCTCGTTTCATTCTTGAAGAAAATCAAAAAAAAAAAAAATTAGATCCGTTTGTTAAGTCATTGCCGTTTGTTTCAAGTTTATATTCTTATCCTCATATCCTATAGTATTGTCATTGCATCAAAAAAAAAAGAGAGAGAAGAGTCTTATACTTATAAGATTTGTTATTTGCGCTTTAGTAGCCGAAACTTTCATACCGCACCAATTGCACTTGATCTTTGTTGTTTTTGTTGTACGCAGGGACGATATGGGAGAACAAGGAGAGGTTGACATGGCTCAGATGCTTGCTAATATCCAAGCTCAACTCGCAACCTTAGGGGAGCGAATGACACGGATTGAGCAACCACCACCGGCCCCAAGAGGACCTATCAGAGGTGTAAACGCGTGGAGAGGCAACCAGGACGAAGATGAGGTCATGGAGGATCTTGACGATGGTGATCCACTGAACCAAAACCAACCCCGAGGACAACACCAACGAGGCCGAGGCCAAGAAAATGGCAAAGACCTCAAGCTCACCGCACCAACATTTGCCGGCAAGGTGAACCCTGATGCGTACCTTGATTGGGAAAGAAGGATGGAATACATCTTTGATTATTACCAATACTCGGAGGCTAGAAAGGTATCCTTAGCGGCTGCACAACTAACTGACAACGCCTTGGCGTGGTGGGATCGAGATGTTTCCGAAAGGAGAAGGCATAGGCATGGGCAGGTCAATAATTGGGAGGACATGAGATTCAGCCTCAGAAAGAGATATGTCCCTGCCTACTACCACCGAGACTTGCAGAAGAAATTCCGCAAGCTCACTCAAGGAAGCAAGACCGTGGAGGAGTATTTCGAAGAGTTTGAGACTCTTAAGAACCGACTTGAAGTAGAGGATTCGGCTGAGACCCTGATGGCCCAATTCATTGATGGTCTTAATGATCGGATTGCTAGAAAGGTCGAGAGGCAGACTTACCATGACTTGGAGGACGTTTTACATCATGCCGTGCAAGCTGAGCAACACATTAAGAGGAAGAACACTTCCACAAACCGGAGCAAAACCACCTGGACGCCACAACCTCAACGAGCTCTTGATAAGGGCAAGGCCGTTGAAGTGGATAACCGGATCCACAAGTCCACTCCTGAAACTTCCAAAGCCAATAGACCCGAGGTAAGTAAAGCTTCCACACAACGAGCTAGAGATATAACTTGTTTCAAATGCCATGGCAAAGGACACTATGCGAGGGAGTGCCCAAACCAAAGAGTAATGATCCTCAAATCTAATGGCGAGTATGAATCACAAGACGAAGGAGAGGAGGCTGAGGAAACTGATGAGGACATAGTCGACTATCCTGACCAAGGAGAGCTCTTTAGTGAGGCGAGCACTTAGTGCACTCTTTGAGCCAGGAACCATTCAGAGAGAGAACATATTTCACTCTCGGTGCACTATAAATGCCAAGATATATAGCTTGATCATTGATGGGGGTTCTTGCACTAACGTAGCTACCAAGTATCTTGTAGATAAGCTAGGGCTCCCCAAGACTAAGCATCCCCGACCCTACAAGCTCAAGTGGTTGAATGATGAAACCGAGCTCAAGATTGCTGAGCAAGTAACTATACCCTTTAGCATTGGTAAGTATACAGACCAAGTAGTGTGTGATGTGGTCCCCATGCAAGCCGGGCACTTGCTCCTAGGGCGGCCGTGGCAATTTGACAAGGAAACTCTACACAATGGGCGCACAAACTACTATACCTTTACTCACAACAACAAGAAGCATAACCTAGCACCACTCACCCCGCAAGAAGTGCACGACATGCACAAGGCCATGTCTCGAGGCTCAGAGGTAAGTAAGACCAACCTTTATGTTACCCCTACGGTTGTGCTTAAGTCTCTTGAATCACGAGAACAGGTGCTACTAATGATCTTCAAGGAAGGTTTGTTTTCAGGTCAGGAACCACAAGAGATCCCTCCAACTGTTAAGGAGCTGTTGGACCGCTATTCTGATGTGTTCCCGGAGGAGATTCCACCAGGCTTACCTCCCATTAGAGGAATAGAGCATCAGATTGACCTGATCCCTGGAGCACCATTGCCAAACCGAGCCGCTTACCACGTTAATCCCGAGGAGGCCAAAGAATTAGAGAAGCAAGTACAAGACCTAATGTCAAAAGGCTACATATGCGAGAGCCTAAGCCCGTGTGCTGTCCCTGTCTTACTAGTGCCCAAGAAAGATGGCTCATGGAGGATGTGTGTTGATTGTAGAGCCATCAACAACATCACCATCAAATACAGGCATCCCATACCTCGACTTGATGACATGCTAGACGAGCTTAACGGCGCCACCATCTTCTCTAAGATCGATTTGAGATGTGGATTCCATCAAGTGCGAATGAAGGAAGGAGATGAGTGGAAGACGGCGTTCAAGACAAAGAGGGGCTTGTACGAGTGGCTAGTGATGCCATTTGGACTCACCAACGCCCCAAGCACCTTCATGAGGCTCATGAATCACGTTCTAAGAGCCTACAGCTGTAAGTTTGTAGTAGTGTACTTTGACGATATACTAATTTACAGCACTTGTCTTGCAGATCACCTGGAGCATCTTTCACAAGTTCTAGAGACACTTCGGTGATAACTAAGAGTTTTCACCCTTTAAAGAGGTTATCAATTCCCCTTTCCTTGTAGTACAAGGGGTTATCAAACCAAACTTGTAGTGGAGACACTATCTATGTCATTTGTCACCTTAAGTCAAGAGAGAATAGTAAAGGTTTTTAGCTAGACTAAGTAACAAGCAAATGAGCATAAAAGTAAAACAAATGATGAGATTTAAACTAAGTAAAGATGCAAATAACAAGCAAATGATTCAGATGATGATAATATATGATAAAGGCAGAAGCTTTAGACAGGATACTTGACTCGGGTGCTTCCAAGCTAAACTAATGGGTTAATGAATCATTTTATCAAGCGATTTCATTTAACTTTGAACTCAAGGCATGTTAATCTTCTCATGAAAGTATTAAACATCTAAACTGATCCTCTTTCATACCAAAAATCCCTTTTGAGCCTTGACTTGGACGATATCGAGGTAATGATGCCGAGCCATGAGAAAACACTTAGCATGTATCGCAACTCATTTGGGCTCGTATCGACCATATTGCCTTCCGGAAACAGTAACTTTCAACACACGACTCCAATTGCTCTGAGACCAGTTCCATAGTCAAGATGACTCAATAAGCTCGAACTTTGGTGAAGGAACCGTCGGAGCTTGGGAAGTGGAAGGCTTCCTGGATTTCACATCTTTGCACCGCATCGGATTCACCGGAAAATAAGCTTTTGAACCAATGTGAACTCCGGAGACCTTATCTTTTGAACCACTGCTCCGAACTGAGCGATTCCAACTTTTTTGAGAAGTTCCTTCACAGATCTCAAACTTTGATGAAGACCGGGCAGGCTAGTTCGGTCCGGAAAGGCTCCGTCCGCCGTGATCTTTGGAATCCGCCGTTTGGTTCTCGGATGCGCGTAATGCTGGTGCATCTTCCGGAAGCTGTATCTTTCTCCTCACTGGTCCGAAATGGATGATACCAACTGCTCTGGGATCTTGCTTGATTCTCTCCAACTTTGATGAAGACCCCGTAAGCTGATTCGGACCGGAAGGTTCCCCGGATTGCTGATCTTTGAAATGCGCGGGCAAAGACAGGTTTTGGTCGAGAAAAGCTTCCCGCAGTAAGGAAAATGACCGAGGGCTATGTACCATGGTAAGCTTTTTAGCCGTAAAATTCTTCTCGCCTCGGCCAAAACTTAACCCGTGTTATTTTGCACGCGATACTCGTCTTTGGTCGATTTTGGTCGATCGGTAAGGGTTTTGGCCGGTAATGAGCGTTCGGTAAGCTTTTTGACCGAGGTTTCTGTCCAGCCGGTACGAGTTTTGGCCGAGAAATTCCTCCAAGCGGTTTTCACCATTTTTGACCCTTTTCTTCACCGTTTTCTTCTCTGCTCCTCCTCTTAAGCTCCAAATGACTTCCAAAGCACCTGATTAAGACTTCAAAACATGCAAAACTCTTTGGGACCTAATGCAAGCCCTAAATCCTATTTTGACGCCTAAAGACTCAATTTACATGGGAAAACACATGATGAGGACTCTAAAATGCACTCTAAATGATGTAAAATATAGACATATCAACTCCCCCACACTTGTCCTTTGCTTGTCCACAAGCGAAGAGAACAAATGAGAGAAAGAGGTTGTGTGCAGATGGAGCTCATATTTCCTTTTTAGAGAGAAGTGATCACAAAAAGAACTCGGATTCATGCTCAAATATGCAATGCAAAGCTATACTCAGATATTTTCCAACTAAAGCACGGAATCTCCACAAGTCATTATCACATTCAACTCTTTCACATTCATTAAGTTCGTAACCGGTGAATCAAATGATGAAATGTTCAAATAGGCTGGCTTGGCTAGGGTAAGGTCATGAGATAAAAATGATCACATCAATATTCAAGCGGATGTAATGCAGCAAGGGATCTCTCTAAGAACGACCAAAATTTGGCAGAATGCTAAAGGTAAAAAGCAACCGATGCATACAAGGGCAAGACTCATCACACCCCATACTCCACTCAAAGCTTTCTCACTTGCTCACCCTCTCAAAATCCTCACTCTTTCACAATCGTTTTCTTTTCACTAGGGGACTCACTTTTTGTTTTAATTCTCAAGCCTTGGTGTTCACTTATTCACACAGCTCTTTTCTTTCATAGCGTATAGCCTCTTTTCTTTTCATTTTAGAACACTTGAGCCCTTTTGGCTTCTTTTCATTTCAGAGACTAAATTTTTCATTTAAAAACATCAGAGCTCATCTTTTCAAATCCAAGACTCAATTCTTTTTCTTTCATTCCCCTTTCTCTTTTCCACTCAACTCACCTTTTTCCACTCACCAACAAGTCTTTTCCCCCACACTTATTCCTCGCCAATACTCTCAGTTCCTTGATGTTGGAACATAGCACTCAATGAGACATGCCCTTGTCGCTCTAAACCTAACACTTTCTGCTAAGTTCAGTCCAAGGTGGCCTTACAATTCACACACAAACATTGGCTCGAAAGAAAGATGGGTTCAAGGTGAGGGAACTGATCCATGATGCGGATTCAGCTACTTGAGCTAAGGAAGGAGGGTGGTGAAAACAACGATTCTAGCTCAAGTATGTATATCGGTATCCACAAGCCTATTCAAGCAATACATCAAAAGATATTTACAATTCAAGTTCAGGGTTATCACTTAGCTAGAGTTGAGTGTAATTCAAACTTGCTTCTCATATTCAAATCGTTTCAAGCTTTACAAGCACAGAATGAGTTTCACAAGCATATTTAGTTCAAGTTCTCAAGTGATTTACTCTCTAGGAAAAAATCTATCATTGCTCCTTGCACTGATGCAATCCTACATGATGCAGCTAGACTCGATCTTAGAATGCGAGATGCAACTAGAATGAGGCGGTTTTATCATATGTATTAAGCTAAATGAGACTCAAGAATGCAAAAGTCAAATAAGAACAAAGAAAACAAGATCAGAAAACACAAAGCTCCTCCCCCACACTTAAATAACACAGTCCCTTGTGTTATAAAAGCGTGTGAGAGAAGTAAAAAGACAAACTAAATGCAATATGGTATATACAAGAGTTTGAAGTCGATACCTCAGTCGGAGAGGTCTGATCCCAAGTAGTACGAGGGATTTGACGTTGAGCAGGAGGGCGTGGACTGACGTGGTGGGCTGCTTTCCGAGGGTTCCGGTAAGAATGCCGAGGCAGGATCGATCCAGTCCTCTTTGCCTGGTGGAAACTCCGGGTTCCTCGCCTTAGTGCTTTCTCCAACCTCTTCTTGTGTAACCGGTGCGGTTGAGGTCGCCGAGTTCTTGTCTGGAGAAGATGGTCTGGTGAGTTGCTTGACTTTCTTTTTCAGATGCCTTACACAGTCCACCAACGCGTGAATGGTCTTGTCTTGTCACTTACACCACTTTTGGAGAGTGTTCACTCGCGAATACAGCTTCTTGGTATGGTATTCAGGCTCACCCCAGACGTATGGATCAAAATGGTATCGGCCTGCTCCTGTCCTTCTCTCAGCGTGCCTCTGTTCCTCATTCTCATATCCGACCAGGCCGTTCTCGTTCTGCGGCTTGCTAGGTGCGGTCTTGGTGCACTTGCGCATTGGTGGGTCGAGAGATGGGTTGTACAACTGATCCTTGAGGACATAGAAGGAGACGTTACACTGCTTATCAAGCATGGTGAGGCCTCGGTTAGGCAGTAGAACCTGTGTGCCGTCTCTGTGCATCAGTGTGAAGTTGTAAACCCATGTATCCCCTGACTTGCCTCCAAAGAATCCACTTTTACTTAGGTATTGTTCATCAATGAGACTCGGCCTTGATGGTGAATCAGGGAATATGAACCCTTGAGCTCTCAAAATCTTGGTGACTATCCAACCGTTCTGAAGCCTCCTTGCTCCTTTCTTCTTTCGGTCACACCACACATTGTGCTTGTATGTAAGCATTTGGATTGCAAAGAACGCGCCTAGAGAGGGTACATGCATTGGCCCTTGGAACTCCTTCTTGTTCTTCATTTTAGTGGGAGCGGCTTCAGTCCAAGTCCCAACAGCTCGAGCTCGACCGTATGAATAACACCAGGGTTATAGGTCGAGAAGAATGTGGAGGCGTGAACTCGGTTGGTGTATCTGATAGCAGGGTTCCTGATGCAACTCGTCTTGCTCTTGCCTCCCAAGTAAGGTCCGAAAGCTATTGTTTCTGATACTTTCCACCTTAAGATCGTCACTCTAAGCACTAGATCTCACGATTTTGAGCAGATTTGGATATGAACTTTAGATAGAATGGGTGGAAATGATAGGTCACACAAAGGATGCGGAAGGCCTTTGATATACCAGGGTGATTCTATGGATATGACACACCAAAGAATCGGGTTGCTTGAAAGATATAACACACTCACAAGCTAAGATGTTCAAGAGAACAAATGATCTAAATTAGAAAGAGTTTTTTGGGTAGAAAAGATAGATGAGTTTAACAAGGAGCGTACAAGGGTTTAAAAAGAAAGAGAACAAGTCTGCGACAGCCAAGACTTGTCTCGGAAATACTAAGACAATAAAGACTAAGTTTGAATAAGAAAGAAACAAGAAAGAAACTCTTTTTCTCTGGGCCAATACTTCAAGTTTTGGGCCTCTTGTTGGATCAGCGAATGAGGGATATGATGTGAGCCGTTTGTCTCATTAAAAACCTCTCTTTGGAAAACCCATTGGGACAAAACCAAAGGAGAGGGAAAAAGAGTGCAAACGGGTCACATGCCCATTCACTGATCATCTTGAGCCTGTATAGAAACCAATGCGGCTTGTATAGCAACTTCTCCCTCCTGGCTCAAGACATTGGCTCGTCTCCAACTGGTTCTAAGCAAGGCTCCGATAGCTTCCTAAAGTTTCTTGCTCCTTGATCTAGTTATTGGACCGGCTGGCATCTCCAAAGCTTCCTCTATATCCGGTTCCTCTTGTTCTTCTAGTCCATCTTCTTGAGCTTCAAGTTCCAAGTCCTCTAGGCTGTCCATGATCGCATCATCCCCCTCCTCTTGAAAAGGATTTGACCTCAAATCTGG